ATCCTCGGGCAAGAGCTGCAGTGCTGCGTTGACACCTTCAATCTCGGTCTGAAGTTTTGTCAGCTCTTCGTGGGCAGCCACCGATTCATCATCAACGTCTTGAGTCAAGCTGTTCACATGACTCATGCACGAGTCTAACACGGAGAGCGCCGTGGCCTGCCAGTCGATCATGTCTTGTAACTGCTGCAGCAGAGCTTGCGACTCGTGGTGTACAAACGCCAAGTACCAGTCCTGATGCTCGTAGTTTGGAGGTGGTTGCCACTGAGCAATTTGTTCGAGACCATTGTGCTCAAGCAGGCTCAGCTTCTCGTGAGCTTGGCACAGCTCCTCCCAGGCCTCGGGCAATGCCTCGGCTGGCGGCGGTGCACTTGCATCCACACATTGCGCGCATTGGCGAAGCGTCTCTACGCGATGAATTGTGTCGGTGGTTCCCGCTCTTGCCACAGCGCCCAGGGCATCGATCAAGGCCAACGCTAGGCACTTGAGGTTGCTGTTGGCGCTGGTGAGCAGCTCTTGACGCTTGGTTTCTACGTCGTGTAGCACGGCAATTTTGCCCAGGGCTGCCCCAAGGTTGGTGGGCGGCGTTTTGGGTGCGTTTGTCAGAGCGGTGGGTGGAGCGGGGCACGCTGCCAGCAGGGTCTGAAGCTCAAGAAGCACCGGCTTCAGCTTAAAACCAGCAGTGACATTGTGCATCTCTTGCAGCACTGATTTTAGACTGTCAGCGTTTGGGTCCAATTGCTTCAAGCGGCTGCTCAATGCTTCGGGTGCTTCCAGTGCTTGGTCGAGCGCGTTGAGGGCCTGGGTGGTTGTTGCCTGGAAGGCAACCCAGTCCATAGCAGGAAACTCTGATGGGGCTTCATCGATGGTCTTTTGGATGTTAGCAACCGCCGCTGCAAGATTGGGATTTTCTTTGGCGGCACCGCTGATAAAGGCATCGAGGTGTGGTAGAGTATGGGTGGTGGTGCGCTCCGGCAGGAGTGGCCTGAGCCAGGTGTCCACCGCCACCACAACAGAGGCTGTGGTCTAAATAAGGATTGCGTGGTGCCATGCGTTGTGATGAGGTGGAATGAGGCTGTGTGGGTGATGGGGCAGTAAATGCATTTGGAATGCAAGAGGGGCAGGCCTACCTTGAGGGTCGGTGCAGGGCTGGGCAGGGGCGGCAGCCAGAGAAGACCCTTGTGAGCAGCAAAGACGAGCTTCAGCTTGTCGCCATACCCGTTGGCACATCCCAAATCGAGGGGTGATTCGCTTGCCTGAGAACATGGCCACAATCAAGCGATTGGAGCGTGTGAGATGGGCAGTGAAACGAGGGTTAAGTTGGGTGATGGGTGTTTGCTTTCTCATGTCAAAGGCAAGGCGACAATGCTTCAGAGTTCGCTGAAAACGCTAGACGCAAGAGCATTCGACGAACGGCTCAGACAGGTCGCAAGGGTTTGAAAGGAAGCGCGGTTGGAGAAAAAAAGTGGGGGCGCCGAGTGTGGCGGGGGTTAATTTGAAGAAATGGCCACCAAGAGCCGCTGGAGAGCGAGAGGCAGCGGCGTGGTGACAAGGAATGAAGAGGTACCCAGATTGAAGTCACAGCATCAGGAAAGGGAAGAGCGAGGCCAGCAGGCGGAAGAGACCAGCAGGGAACTGGGCGGAGTGCAAGGAGCACCGACAAAGCGTGGACGCAAAACGGGGGAAGAAAAGGGATAGCGGGAAAGAAGACAAAGAGCCAGAGGTAGAACGGACGCGCACGGTGGGCAGGGTGTAGAGGAGCGAGGGTTTGGGCAAAGGCGACGAGCAGCGGGAGCAGGAGCAGCAACCAGAGGGGGTACAGGGAAGAGGGAAGTATTGTACTGACGTAGTTCTTGGTTTCAGTATCAACACCGTGCTCCAACAGCATCTCTACCACCTTGGCATGACCCTCAATGCAGGCCTTGTGCAGTGGTGTACAGCCATCCTGTAGGATGATGCATCAGCATGACGTACAGGTACAACATCAACATCATTGTCATCTTCATCATGTGGTACAGGTGCATCAGGGGGAGGGGGAGGGGGAAAGTGGCAGGTACTGTTCTGACGTTGTCTTTGGCTTTGGCGTCAACACCGTGCTTCAACAGCATCTCCACCACCGTGACATGACCCTCAATGCAGGCCTTGTGCAGTGGTGTATAGCCACCCTGTGGGATGATCCATCAGCATTAGGTACATACAGGACATCATCATCATCATCATCGTCATCTTCATCATGTGGTACAGGTGCTTCAGGGGGAGGGGCGGTGGAAGTGGCAGGTACTGTTCTGACGTTGTCTTTGGCTTCGGCGTCAACATCGTGCTTCAACAGCATCTCTACCACCTTGACATGACCCTCAATGCAGGCCTTGTGCAGTGGTGTGTTGTCACCCTGTGGGATAATCCATCAGCATACAGGTACATCATCATAATCATCATCATCATCATCATTATCATCATGTGGTGCAGGTGTAGGAGGTAAGGGGGGGAAGAGGGAGGTTCTGTACTGACGTTGTTCTTGACTTTTGCATCAGCACCGTGCTTCAACAGCAGCTCCATCACCTTCACGTGGCCGCTAGCGAAGGCCGAGTGGAGTGGTGTACTGTCCTCCTGTGGGATAATGCATCAGCATTAGCAACGGCATCATCGTTATGAGGTATAGGTGCACCACCAAGGAGGAGCGAGGCGAAAAAAATAAGAATGGTCACTGAAAGCTGCTTGAGTGCGCGATGGCACGGGGTGGGGTGGTGCCCGGATTAAGTCACGACATCACCAAAAAACAAGACGAGCAAGAAGCACCGACACAAAGTGTAAAAAAAAACAGGGGACGAGAAGGGGAAGTAGGAAAGGAGAAAAGAGCAGAATGCAAAGGCGGGAGGGGCAGGGCAAAGGCGACGAGCAGCGGGAGCAGGAGCAGCAGCCAAAGGGGGTGCAGGGAAGAGGGAGGTACTGTACGGACCTTGTTCTTGGTTTCAGCATCAACACCGTGTTCCAACAGCATCTCCACCACCTCGACATGACCGCTAGCGCAGGCCAAGTGCATTGGTGTATCGCCACGCTGTGGGATGATGCATCAGCATGACGTACAGGTACAGCATCATCACCATCATCATCACCATCATCATGGGGTACAGGTGCACCATCATAGGGGGGTAAAGGGAGGGACTGTACTGACGCTGTCCTTGGCTTCAGCATCAGCGTGCTTTAACAGCATCTCCACCTCCTCGACATGACCGCTAGCGCAGGCCTCCTGCAGTGGTGTACGGCCACCCTGTGGGGAGCATGCACCAGCATGACGTACAGGTACAACATCATTATCATCATCATCAATCATGTGGTACAGGTGCACCATCATAGGGGGGTAAAGAGGGGGAAAAGGGAGGTTCTGTACTGACGCTGTCCTTGGCTTCAGCATCAACACCGTGCTTCAACAGCACCTTCACCACCTTGACATGACCTTTTTTGCGGGCATAGTGCAGTGGTGTCCAGCCAGACTGTGGGATGATGCATCAACATGACGTAAAGGTACAGCATCATCATCAGCAGGTCTACCATCACAGATAGAGGAGGGGTAGTTAAAGGGGCAGGAGGTAGGTACTGTACTGACGTAGCCCTTAACTTCAGTATCAGCACCGTGCTTCAACAGCATCTCCACCACCTCGTCATGACCGTTAAAGCAGGCTCTGTGCAGTGGTGTACCGCCATACTGTGGGATGATGCAGACATGCAGTATAAGTCCCATGTTATACCATAACGTCACCCCATCCAGTGACATATTCAAAGTGTAACCAATATCACACGTCATTACATCAAACAGCATACATACCACATCACCTTTGTATTGGGCAGCATCTCGAATACGTTCATGGTCCCAGCTGGTCAACAGCTGCACCGCCAATAGGGGATCAGATGCGTTACACGCTTCGTGCAGCTGCCTTCCATCATCACTCATGGTAACGGTATAACTCTCTCTATTCACCATCCCGCTTGCTTGCTTCTCTATCCACCACCAATTTCATGAGCCCCCTCCAAGTACAACTCTCCGGACTGGGATCCAACAGGCGCGTGCCGTTTCCAAAAGGGCAGCCTGTCAGCGGGCGCTGCTCTCCTCTGCCTGATGCACCAAACGACCCACCTTGGACCAAATATCTTGTGTGACAGTTGCAAGGACAGGTGTACTTGGTTTCCAAAGGGCACGTTGTCGACTGCGAGGCGAGATCAGTGGTCTCACATTGATGAAAGCAAAGACAATAACCCTCTCAATCAAACGTTCGGGCGTCGCCGCAAGGCCCCGACCAGGAAAGTCCCGTACCAAGCACAAACGATCAGTCACCACACACACAAAGCAAGACACCTCAAGCAGCCCGCCGATGCCGATATCGAGACCGAAACCGCTGCCAAAAAAGGGCGACACGAACAAGAAGAAGAAGAAGAAGAAGAAGAAGGCAAGAAGCCAAAGAGAGAGGGAAGCTTTAGTCAGAAGAAGAAAATGCAACACACACACACACACACACACACACACACACACACACAAGCATGCTTACACCTGCAAACAACAATCATAAAAGCAAATTTTCAAGCGGCGTCAAGCTTAAACGTTCAACGTATCCTGCCCCTTCCTTTGCCTGCCAATGACAGCTCGACCATTACAAGCAGCTTCCAAAAGCACCACAAGACTGGGGCGTGTACTGCCTTGTTGCCAGCCATGGCATTACGAGCCCGTTGGCTAACTGCCCCTCCGCATAACGCTCGCAGCCATTCCTGACGGCGAGCGAGCCAGCTTTAAGCTCTTGACAACAAGCGTCCAAATGGCTCTTTTCGACGCTTCATATGGCCACTGCGGCTAAAAGTCTTTGACCCCTTCTGTGCTGCCAGAAGACCCGAAGCAATGGGCAGCAACAGCAACCATCAGGCATCAATTAGGGGGTGCAAACAAAAACACAAAACGGGAATGTGCAGCTCTGCTGCCAAGCCGGCAATTGGGGGGTCATGCATCCACGCGCGGCTTAGAGGCTGTGATCGAGGGTAAAGCCCCAGAGGTCTTCGAGGTGGGTCCGGTCTTCCAAGAGGCTGGCCAGGGCGTAGTGGAGGCCCGGGGCGCCGTTGCAAGAGGCGTGGGTGAGGTGCAGGGCGGCGTCACGCATGCGGAGGCGTTGCTGGTGACGGGCGTGGGCGGGTTGATTGGCGAGGTGGTCGAGGAAGCGTTGGAAGCGGGGGGTGTTGGTGTCGTGTAGAAAGGTTTCGACCCAGCCGTGGTAGTCGACGTGGCGAATGTAGGGAGCAGGGCGAAGGGCGTTGGTGACAATGGGGATGCAGCCGACGCGCAGGGCATCGAAGAAGCGGGTGTCGCAGTTGGTGTCACCTCGGGGGGTGGGGCAGTATTCGCATTGGGCGTAGAGGAGGGCGGATTCATCGGTGCGCAGGGAGGTGGCTGCAAGGTTGGCACGATCGGAGCGGCAGTTGCCCTGGACAAACGAGTCGTTGCGTTGGAGGAGGGCGTCGGCGACCATGGTGCGTTCGGCGTTGAGGAGGGTGCCTTGGAAGCAGAAGCGGTAGGGGCGGGGCCAGGCGGGATCAAAGGGGGCGGTGAGAATGGGAAAGTCGACGGGAAACTGGGGCAGGACGACGTGGTTGGCCAGGATGGGCTGGAGGTGCGGATCCCGGAGTTCGTGGGACTGCATGTTCTTAATGTCCGGGGAGAGAAACTTGATGTGGGGGTAGTCGGCGAGGAGCTGGCGCATGGGGGCGCGGAGGTTGGTGCGGGCGGGAAAGGGGCGACGGCTGACGGTGAAAAACTGAAGGTGGGGAAAGCGGGCCCGTAGGGGGTCAAGGGCAAGGCGGGCAGCACGAGCAAAGTCCAGGTCGGGATTTTTGGCGCAGCGAGCGTCCTGGCAGTCGGCAGGAAAGGGAAAAAGGACGACATCGGCGTGGGCCGGGTCGGTGACGAGGGTGCGGGTAACATTGGCGCGAATCTGGTCATAGACTGGAAATTCGGCGCACTCGGCGCACCGAGGGCCTAGGGCTGATTCTAGCTCGGCATCGGCCACGTAGACTCTTGGCACGCGGACGCGCGGGTGCACCCGAGTGCAGTTGGGCGGACCCAGGCGGGCGAGCCCCGCTTGTCCATCGGGGCCGGGCTCGGAGAGGGAGCGCACATGCGCGTGCCGGCGCCATGCCGGGGTGCAGGTGAGGCGGTCATAGACAAATCGGATCGTTTCCAGCGGCGAACTGCCCTGGACCCAGGGACCAAGCGCAAACGCGACGAAGAGGAGCAGAAGCAGGAGCAAGGACAAGGATTTCAAAGCCCAGGCCGGCGAAGGCCGCCACCACGCCCGCCGCATCTCAAGCGTGATGTGATGCCGTGAAAGGGGCGGGGAAGGGCGGGAATATATCAGCACGCCGTCCAATACCAGGCGCTACTACCCCGTCCGCCGCGCAGCCTGGTCTCGAGTCTGCCATTCACAGCGTCCGACGCTCAAATATTAAAAAATTAAAAATTAAAAATTTGAATCTCTCTCTCTCTCTCTTAACTCGCTCTCTCTCTCTTAACTCTTCACTCGCTCTCTCTCTCTCTCTGAATCTCTCTCCAAATTCGCTCTCTCTCTCTCTGAATCTCTCTCTGAATCTCTCTTTGAATCTCTCATCACTCTCTCTAAACTTCTCACTCTCTCTGAGTTTCTCTCTCTCTCAACTTTCAATGGTCTGTGTCCCTCTCGGTTTTCATTACTACATGTGGTAATTACGTCGTTTCTTGGTGCCTTTGTCAAACATGATTCTCGTCTTTCTCTGTTTGACTTCTTTTCTCACTACATGTAGTACTTACAGTTAACGTATCTCGTTGCCTCACACACACACTCACACACATCCAAGTTAAAAATAGCAAATCATGCCAATTTAAGCACACACGCCCAGTTGCGCCACATCTTGATGTTCATCACAGCTCTAAGATTTATGCTTTCAACCTCTAATTCTCTGAACCTTGATACACTCTCCTTCCTCTCTCTGCTTTCGCTTTTCTTTCCCCTTATACCAAAACCCCCTCTCAGACTCCCTCTCTATGATCATCCCCATTTGCTCCTACCCTCTCAAAGTCACACGAGCAGCGCTCTTTTCTCTCACGCTGCCTCGCCGTGTGCGCGGCGGCCAGCTGACTCACATTTATCTCCGGCTTTTTCCTTCTGGATCTCGTCCTTTGCAAGCACCTTTCTCTTCTGCTTGGTCTGCGGTTGTTGTCAGGTCAGCTCCCTTGTTCCCTTGTTCCATGCATACCTTCCCTCTTACCCCTTGCCTGCCCTTCTCACGTCCCAACCTGACCGTCCAATTCCAGCTAGCGCCTGGCTGCTCCCTGAAAACCTTCAACGCCTCCTCGCCTCAGCGCGCTCCAACACCAACAGACGACATGTGGGAACCGGTTTCAGATGGGCATTGGGTGCAAGAGCCAGAGTCCGACCCAGAATCCGAAACCAGCGATGCAGGGGAGGACAGAGAAAAAGACCCAGCAAACACTCGCCCAACCGACCAGCACCCCCAGTCCACCGCGCCCGCCCTTAGCGCCCAACTGTATGCCACGTCGACTGCCGACACGTTGATATGCGCGCTGGCTGCCAGCGCGGCCTCGGCTCGCGACACGCCTTTACACGTGTGCTTGGTGCTGGACCGCTCCGCCTCAATGTCCGTGCCCGTCACTGCACGAGATCGCGAGCATGCCATTGTCGAGTACGACATTACCGTCATGGACATGGTCAAGTATGCCGCCCGCGTGGCCCTCCACTGCCTTGCTCCGGGCGACCGCATCTCCGTCGTCTCCTTTGCTGATCAAGCTCGCATCGACGTACCCCCTACCACCCTCCCGAGCACCCCCACTACCACCACCACCACCACCGGCCCCGCCGCCCAAGGCAACTCCGAACTGGCGGCGGTTGTCGCTGGGATCGACCAGATTGCCGCCGAGGGCCGCACCAACCTGTGGGCTGGCCTGCGCACCGCCCTCACCCTCCTCCGCGAGCACCATGTGCCTGGAACCCACAACCTCTGCATTGCCCTCACGGATGGCGTGCCCAATTGCCACCCGGCCCTGGGCTATGTCGAAGCCCAACGCGCCTTTCAAAACGACCCCGACTTTCGCTACGTTCTCAACACCATTCCATTTGGCTACGAAGACATGGACGCCAAGCTCCTTCACCAGCTAGCCCTGCAAGGCGGTGGCATCATGGTCAACGTACCCGACTGCGGCATGGTCGGCACCGTGCTCACCAACATGCTGGCCAATGCCAAGACCACCACCCATTGCGACCTGGCCCTGCATGACCCCCACCGCCTCCTCAACCGCCGACTCCCTTGCCGGGCCGATGTCGCATATGACCGCAAGCTTGGGCGCCTCGCTCTCGGTACCCTCCATGCCCAGCAGCCCCGCCACCTGGCCCTCGCCCTGGATCCTAGCCAGGCTGCCGCCCTTGCGCCTCTGACGACGAGGACGAGAGCGAGGACCTTGAGGATTTTGAGGACGTCGACCATCACACCGTTCTCAAGCTAGATCTGTCGCACCTTTTGACCCTGCGCGCCTTCAACGTACGCACGGGCCAGGTGGAAGAGGTGCCCGTGCCCCTTGCTGACCTTGAACTGCCCGAGTCCGAGGAAGCGCGGACGCTGCTGCGCGATGCTGTGTGTGCCGAGGTGCGCCAGCTCAACGTGCTGATGGCTGCGCGCCGCAATCACACGGCCAGTCAACAGCTTGCTGCTTTTCTGGAAGACCACGACGTACTGGACCTGGACCCCGAGCTGTTTATCGACCTGAACGAGCAGGTGCGCCAGGCCCTGGCCCCGAATGCTTACCGCCGCTGGGGTCATACCTACCTTCCCTCCCTTGTGATGGCCTACACCGCCCACCTTCGGCACAACTTTAAGGACCCTGGCGTGCAACATTTTGGCGGCTCCCGTTTTCGTCAGCTGGCTGCCCAGATGTCCGACATTTTCGACAGCCTCCCGGTGCCCCAACCTTCACTGCACACTGGACGCCGCCTCCCTTCCCTGGCCGTGCTCAACGATTGCCTGGGCGGCTGCTACACCGGCGACAGCCTTGTTACCCTGGCCGACGGTACCGTCTGCCGTTGCGATGCCGTTCGGCCCGGCTTTTGTTTGGCCGGCGGGGCTCGCGTGGCGTACGTCATGGCCACGGCGTGCGTTTCCGGGCGCGAAGACCTCTGCCTTGTGGCCCCAGGGCTGAGCTTGACTCCCTGGCACCCCATTTGCCGCGAGAACGAGTGGTTTTTCCCCGCCGATCGCTATCCCATCCTGCGCAGTCAACGCTGCGCTTTCAAGTATAGCTTTATTCTCGATGCTCCACCGTCGCGCGGGGCCGTGGTTGTGGTCGGTGGCGTCTCCACTGTGGCGCTCGGTGGTGCCGACCAAGCGCGAGCAGCCTTGCCCGCGGCTCGCGACCCCAACGCCGTGCTGGAACACGCCTTTTTTGGCACCACCGCCGTCCGCCGCCGCGTGGCCGAGCTTGCCCCGCTCTCCAGCAGCCGGGTTGCTGGCCGCTACCTCGTGCTTCAACCGCACGCCTTTATCCGCCCGACTCCCTCGGCTCCCATCTCGGACATTGACGCCCGCGCCGTTGTGCCCCTATGCATAACCCTCAACCCGGCTTGGCTTTTCAACTTTTCACCGCGGGCTGTCTCCCAGGCAGCTGTACCTTGCGCATAACTAGTGGCTGTGTAGCGTCCTTTTTCTCTTTTCCTCAAGCCGTGCCGTGCCAGTTTTTCATCTTATCCGTGTATATGACTGCTCATTACCACCTTTATACCAGCCTGCTCGTCTGCATTTTTTTTTCCATTGGGACCTGCCGTGCATGTCTCGTGCCAGTTGTAATTGCAAGACGAGTTCTCAGTCAGGCGCTTTGCAATTTAATCATTCCGCCCCTTTCTCAGACAACACCGCCATCATCCCACCCCCACCAGCCGAGGCTCGCACACCTGCGTCTTGCTCCGCCTCCCCTTTCTTAAAACCCTCTCCTCTCATAATCTCTCTCTCTCTAAATCTCTCCCCTCATGCTCTCTAAATCTCTCTCTCTGAATCCCTCTCTGAATCCCTCTCTGAATCTCTTTGCTCTCTCTTTGTCCCTTTCTCTCTCTCTTGGAATCTCTCTTTCTGTTGATCCCTCTTTCTGTTGATCCCTTTCTCTCTTTTTTTCATCACACGTACACTCGCTCTTCTCAAATTTTTCCTCTCTCTCTCTCTCTCTCTCTCTCTCTCTCTCTTCTCTCAACTTTCTCTCTCTCTCTCCCTCTCTCCCTCTTCTCTCAACTTTCCTCTCTCTCTCTCACCTTTTCCTCTCTCTTCTCTCACGTTTTCCCTCTCTTCTCTCAACTTTTCCTCTCTCTCTCTCTCTCTCTCTCTCTCTCTCTCTCTCTCTCTCTCTCTCTCTCTCTCTCTCTCTCTCTCTCTCTCTCTCTCTCTCTCTCTATTATTAAATTTTTCCTCTCTCTCTCTCTCTTCTCTCTCTCAAAACGAAAACAGCTTCAGTGGAGGAGGATGAGTGAGCGGCGCCGAGGCAACGGCAGCCGGGGCAGTGGATCAGAGGGGATGGGAGGCAGTGGTGCTGGCATGGAGCGCGCTGGTTCAAATAGTGCCTCTACTCCTACTCGGGGGAGTGGTGGTGCAGATGATGATGAGGTAGATCCCCTTGTCTGCGCTGCCCCCTTGCGCTGCTCTCCAACCCCTTGCTACCTCTTTCGTCTCCTCCGCCTCCGCCGCCTCCTCCTCCGCCGCGCCTCTGCCTCCTCCGCGCTGTGCCCCCGCTGTTCTCACACCAAGATTGTGGCTTTTGGCGTACCCCGTGTAGTTTTTGCGAGAAGCCAAGCGGGCGGGCCATCGAACCAGCGCCACCCACGCCCCAGCTCTGGCCGCCATCCTGGCAGAGGAAGACGACGAGGTCGACCCTTTTCTCGCCGAACTGGCCGACAAGGGCGCTCAGCCCGCGGCCGCGCCTCACGTAACCAAAGCCGCACCCGAGCCTTCGGCCTCCACCGCCATGCTCGGGGCTGCGCCCCTTCAACAAAAGGCCCAGACAGCGCCCGTGGCATCCCCGGCCAGCTCCACCCGCTCGAGCCGCGCCCCAACCAAGGGCGCCGCCTCTCCCGCCACACCCGCAAGCCGCAGCCGAAGCAACACTCAAACTTCCACCGCCAGCTCTGCAGCTGGCAAGATCGTCAACAACGACAGCGTCAAGTCCTTGTGCGTGCCCCCGGCCTCCTTTTTTTTTTTTTTGCTCCGTCGTGTGCCCTCTCTCCTTTTCTTCCCACACACTTTGCCAGCCCCCACCTGACGTTTTTAAGACCCACCCCTTTTTCTCCCCAGGCGCCTCAAGCATGGACGCATTCTCCGCTCCCAGGCCCTCAGCCAGCTTTCTAGCAATCTGGCTGCCGGTCACATCAAGAGCGAATCTGGACGGCCGACAGCCCTGGTCAGCCACCGTCCCACCATCACCTAGGCTTCCTTTGCCCCGCCCCAATCACGACGATTCATTCTCCCGCCCTCCCTCGCTACGGCAGGCCATTGGAGGCAAGAGTACTGTTGCCGTTGGCACTGCCTTTGGCCTGGTTCTTATCTATGAGCAACAGGTCTGCTCCCCGCGATCTCTGGCCGGCGCCCTGTCAGCCCTTTTCGACCCGCCACCTCACGTTTGTGGCGGCATACAGACCCTGCAACGCATGCTTGGCAACCTCGAGTCGACGATGCGCTCCGCTGTCACCGCCATCGATCTCGACGTGGAAGAATCTCGCGTCATCTGCGGTTACGAGAATGGTGTCATTGTTCGCTGGGACCTCGTCTCTGGCAAGCCACTCAACAACATTGAAAAGGTTTACAACAGCGGTACGTCATCCGTCCCGCTACCTTCTCTAGACCAGCTTGCCGTCCGTCAGCACACCATCTCCACGTGATCTTCGTCTCACCTCTTTGTATCCTTTCCCAACCCCAACCCCAACCCTGTCTTTCCATCATTGCGAAACAGCGGTCACGGCTCTGGCCTTGACACCAGATCGTCGCCTCGCCGTGTCGCTGAGCGCCGAGGGCTCGGCCTATTCCCATGGGTTCAAAAAAGTCATGGGTGTCCGTGTTGTCGACAATCACTGCATTCTGTCTTCCGAGTACGTTCTGGCATTGCCCCACCTGCCAAGTGTAGCGCCCGCCCCCCTCATCCTACCGCGCATGTCCCCATATCCCGCAACAGTCAAGTCAAATGCTGCACACTTGCGGCTCTCAAGGTCCCTGAAGGCATGAGCTCGCCCGAAAACGTGATTGTTGCTCTCGGCTCGGCCAGCAAGGTAGGTTGTCGTCAGCCTCATCCGAGTGTAAGCCCGCCCTCCATCATTTTTTTACCCCTTTTCTTTGCGCAGGTCTTCGTTGTACGCCTCAAACCCTCCATGCATGTCCTGGCCACGCTGACCGCGAGCAACGATGATGGCATGGGCCTCGCCCTCTTGGACTGGTCTGTTCCGCGTCCCCCTATACGTGATGGGGGAAGCTTGCTTGCCCCAGCGTTCACGACACAGCTCCTCACCCGCCCATCTCCTTGCCCGACTATCTGGCCATTCTCGCAGGACCTGGACCGAGGTGCGCTTTGACAACCGGACGCAAGTGCAGCCCATTCTCACCTACTCGTGGGGTCGCAAGGTCAATCTCCTCAATGTGGGCATGACGTCCACAACCCCGGGGGACAGTGATCTGGCCTGTGTCCCACTGGGTGCTGTTCATAACAACCGTGTCGGCCTGACCATGGTTCGATGGCTCAACAGCCGCATCATTCTAGCCATGGACCGCAATGTACGCCTTTTTGCTCGCACGCGCATTTTTGTGCACACAATGCCACTCTTCTCCCTTCTCTGGCACACCAAAAAGAAATATAATAAAGCGCAGGGTTTGATCATTCACTGGCTTGCCTTGCATGTATCCAGGAGCACGTGCTCGTCATTGACGCACGTGTAGCCCAAGTCGTTGACGTGCTGGACATGGCACCAGCCAAACTGGTCTTCAACCGACACTTTGCCAAGGTGCGTGGCCAGCCTCCACAACGGCACTTTGGCGATTCATCTGATCCAGCTTATGCTTCTGTATTGCTGCTGTCTCCTAAACTCTAGCGCCACATGCAAGAAGGCATGCGCGACTACACCTCGGCCCTGGCTGCTGGCTCTGAAGTGCTGATGGCTCTTGGCAGCGACGCCGTGCGCGTCATTCGTGTGGCTACGTACGAACCACACACGCACCCACTGCGCACTGCGCTGGTTCTTTGGGCTGGCAAAGAGAAGCAACTCACACGTGTCCGCATCTGTATGCCCGCGTTTATCCCGCGTAGCTGGACGGATCGTCTCTTGTACCTGGTCAATAGCAAGGCGTTCCGCGCCGCCATTGAACTGGGTCTTGCCTTTTTCAACAACAAGGCCCTTGTGCCATATGGCCTGAGCTCTGACGATGAAGTCCGCAAATCTCGCGTGCGCGATCAGATGCGCCACATCCTCGAAGCGTACACAGACGCTTGCCTCCAGGCTCAGTACGCCACGTGCTCGTGACTGCGGCCCCCCAGCAATGAAACACAGCCAAACTCACACTAACCTCGCGCTATACTATAGGCCCGAGCCAGCTGCCCCGCCTGCCCAACCATCAGCCACGCCAGCAGAACCCAAGGCAGAGCCAAAGCAGCCCGACCAGGCCCTGCTTGTTCGTCGCAAGTTTTTTCGACAAATGTCACGTGTGCTCACGCAAGCCTCCTTCCAGCTGGGTCTCACGTACGCTGCCACTCCATGCCACCCTGACCAAGGCATTCTTTTGTGCATCCCAATACCCACATCAAACTCACCGATCGTGGCTCTCACCCCCGCCGTCTCAGTGATTTTCTCATGAGCACTTTGTTCGACAAGTTGCTTGAGCACCCAACCGCATTGGCTTGTTTCCTGGAGGAGCTGCGCCCGTTGATTCTGAATGACACCATCACAAGTTTGCCGCCCGTGGTCATGCAGGCCTTTGTTGCCCACTTTAAAGTTCGTCATTACCTCAACTCTCCTGCCTAGGCGTCTTAGTGGGGGTTCATGTTTTGCACAGGCGACTGATGCCACACAAATGCCTTGTCATCAGAAACTCAACAAGCCAAAGATTGTGGAGGAGTGCATTTTGCACATGGACGTTTCAACCATGGATATTAACGAGGTACAAACCCTCCCGTGCGTGCAGTCCTCTGGCCCTGCCTTGCAACTTTTCTCAACACGCGCTCTCACCGGTTCTCTCTCGGACATTCAGCTCACCAAGCTGTGCTGGAGCTACCGCCTGTTCGATGCCATGATCTACATTTACAACAATGGGCTTGACGATTACATCTTCCCGCTGACTGAGTTTATGTCGGTATGTTCTTCATACGCGGAGCCCGACTGCCCAGCGCTACTGCGCGTAATGTCTTGTGCACAGGCTACCCGCCCCAGCTGACCTGGTGAATATTCCCTTCCATGTTTAAATCAGCGGCTGCGTGCCAGCGTCAAGAGCCGCGCAAGCACCATGGGTAGTGGTGATGTGGCTGACCTCCTCAGCCCGCAGGATCAGACTCTTGGCAACAAGCTCCTTGTATACTTGAGCTATTGTCTAGCTGGCCGTGCTTACCCGCGCGGTGAACTTCCTCCGTACGTCGTGTATCTTGATGTTTGGGCCGCATACCGTCTGTCTGGCCCTTCCGTGTATGGCTTGATTTTCAAGCTCTCTCTTTCTCTTTCTCTCCTCTCTCTCCTCTCTTTCACTCTTATTTTGTGGCGCCATCTCTGGCTCGTGTACGACAAATTTGGCCCCTTCAGACACAAGGTCAACAAGGTCCGCGTGAACATGTACCGCCGCTTTTTATTGCTTCAACACGATCCATCTGGTGCCATCAAGGAGACGTACCCCAACTTGCGCACCCTCCTGCGCTTCAATACGCGAGAAGTGCTCAACGTGCTCTCGCTAGCATTTGACGATTTGCAAGTGATCTTGGAACAAGGCGATGAAGAGGCTGTCAACGGACTGCCTTCCCCGCAGCATGTCATCGATACGCTTGAGCACGTCATGAGTAAGGACCCGGCTTCTTTCAACGCCCAGCAGGTCTGTCATTATTGAGGCCCAGCTCTGCTTCATCCATCAGTGGGGCAAAGGAGGATATGACGACATTTTTCTGGCTCCTTGCTGGTATGCCAATTCCAAGCCAAAACCGTCCTCTCACCCGTTGCTATTTCTTGGCGCTCTGCTTCGCAATTTTTCAGCTTTGCAATTTGTACACCTTTATTGCTCGCCAGTTTGCTCGCGGACGAGGCGTGTCACGGGTATGTTCCTGACTCTCGTTATCTTTTTTGGGATGGATGCCCCACCGCGAGGCCACTCATGTAACATCCAACCCTGACCCACGGCGCATGCAGCTTCAAGCCGATCGACTCTTGTCCGTCGTCGAGCGACTCACAGATACGCGCGACGAGACGCAGAAGGATGAACGTGAACAGGCACTTCTAGAGCTACTCTCGGCAACGGGGCTCGAGGCGTTTCGCAAAGACCAGCTTTTGGTCCAGGCCGAGCAGGCGCACTTTTGGGAAGTGTGCAAGGTTGTGCTTGAAAGCCAACGCCGTTTTGCCGATGTCATTCCCTGCCTGCTCAATGATCAGATTAAGAAGCAGCAAGCGTTTCGCTACGCGCATCAAAAGTTGCGCATCATCTCCGGCCAAGAGCGCCAGGACATGGTGGATGCTGTCATCCGCCTCTTTCCCAAGCTGGTGGCCACCTCAGCCCGTGAGGCCGCTCGGCTTGTGATTGAGGACTTTGAGCCCATCTTACCCCAAGTAAGGGCCCGCCCGTCGACACAGAGGCTACCCTTGTGCCACATCCCGTCCGGGGCTAACGCGATTTGAGCTGTGTCCCTTAGCTGATGCGTCTTCTTCAAAAGACGCCAAAGTTGCACTACGCTTTTTTGCTTCACTACAGCAAAGCCAAGGTTAGACCATCCTTGAAATTTGCGTGTCCTTTGTCTGTTCCGAGCATTTCCTTTGACCGCATTTCCTTTACCATCCCTGGCTTGCTTGTCCATTCTCACTCAATGTTGTTTGTTTGCACGCTCTTGGTCTCTTCAGAGCGAAGAAGAGGAAGACAAAACCAGTCGCGAAGTTATAGAGCAGCTCATTGAGCTCATGTGTCAGGTGTGATAACTTGCTGCCAAGGCGATGCGCCTCAACAGCCCCTAAGCTAACACCTTTATGTTGGCGGTCTGCATCTAGCTGGAGCCTGCCCGTGTGTACAAGTTTCTGCAAACCACCAACAACTATCGCGTCGACGACGTACTTGCACTATGCAAGCAGTATCGCCTGCCCGATGCCACGTGCTGGTTGTACGAGGTTAAGGAACAGTACACAGAGGCGTTTCAACTCATCAAGGCTGTACGTGGCATTCTACGAACGCTCGCTCAACGTTTGACACAAGAATCTGGCAGTGTTTTGACGGCGCGTGTGGTTGAATAGGGTGTTTTGCAACGGCTGCAAGCCATGAACCAGGCTTTTGAAGCATATGATAAGGAACATGGTACGCATGGTCCGGCTGCCAGCCTTTGGAACAATGTACCTCGGCTTGTAGAACCGTGTGCTGATCCATAGCGCTGCATGTGTCACCCCATTTCACGGAAAATAAATATCTTATATAATAACAGGAGCGAGTGGGTTGCCCGAGGGCACGGCGGACCCCCGCGTGGAAAGCATCAAGGCCATGCGGGCCATGATGCGAGTGGCTTTGGATATGGTGTCTCGCAGCTCGGCCAAGTATGTGCATGTGAGTCCACGGGCTTGAGCGTTGCCATAGCAGTCTCATGTCGATGATGTGGCTTCAGATTGGAAAACTCGGAAGAGCGACAGGCGCTGTGGTGCCCTCTCCTGGACATGTTGATTGAGGTCCACGGCAAAATGAAAGGCGTGCTGAAGCACACCATTCAGGATCATCGCCAAGTGATTCAGGATACCATCAAGTCAGTCTTTGCCGTAGCTACGCTAGCTGGGCCACAGCGCGCACGAGACAGCATGCCTCATGTTGTGCCGACGATGCCAATGCGCTTTACAGACAAGTGGTGGCGGTGATGATCAGCCATGTGGCACCCCCCATCATTTTGCACCGGATTATCCGAGATAACGACATGGCCGAGCGCTTCCGAGATATCAAGGTTTGTTCGCGACCGAGCCAAGGTTGGCTTGCGCCTTGCCTCTCACGCCGCCATCCACCTTTGTTCTTTTTTTCTTTTTTTTTTTTCTTGACTTATAATGCAGGATCTTGTCATGGGCATGCTGGACACGTACATTTATGAGAAAACTCTTTTGGGCGTGAGTATCGCGCATGTTGAGGCGCACTGGGCCGCAACGCTGTGCAGGTTGTTGCCTTGACCGCCTATGTCACCCTTCTAGACGACGGTCAAGATTATCGGCAATGATATTGACATCATGGCCCATCACCGCTTTCACAGCATGCGCGACGCCTTTTCTTCGCAGTGGCGGTATGTCAGCTTCATGGCCGCCACTGGATTCGATTGAGCGCCGATCGTGCTTGCGCTGGCTCAAATGTGGTCTGATGGGGGAAATGTAGTTGCCCGTTTTGTTCGCAACCCTTGTACGGCGGACACCTTGGGGCAACGGAAATTGTCATGACCCGTACCGGCGCCTCCGCCCATCGATCGGTGCGAACATGTTCCAGACTGCCTTTCTTTGCCGCTTCTTTGTGTCTTGCGTGTTGCCGGCGTTTAGAGCATGCGTTCGTCTTCCGTAACGGTCTTGGGGCTGGGCTTCTTTTCACAGTGTCATGACGAGGCCTTGGGCCAATCCCGCCACCAGCGGGGCCGCCGTGCCGCGCGTGTGGTGGAGCCGCGGCTGTCGAGCGTGAGCTCAGGAGAGGCTACAGCAGAAGCGTCTTCGACAAAGACCCAGACGGTTGAAGAGCAGGTTGAAGATCGAGCTGCACGATACCTCGAGCACACACGGGTGAGCCCTGCGATGCACCCTGATACCTGATGATTCTTCAAGTTTGTTTCCCCTTCACTTTGACTTGATCACTTGATAACTCACACAAAACAAACTTTGCGGACAATGACGATGCAGGCACAAACAGACGGTTTGCTCGTCGATCTGCTGGATCGTTTGGAAGACAGCTTGTACGAAGAGACACCTCGTCCCAAACTTGGTTTGCTGAGCGGCCCCGAGTACGAGCTTCAGCTCGCCGCGCCCCGCACCAAGCGGACAGCCCCTTCTAGCGGCGTGTGCATGCCCACGGTACCCCAAACGCGAGGCAAGGTTCGCATGGGCTTTTAGAGAAATACTTTACACTTACCAACGTACACGTAATGGGTTTTTTGTGTGGTTGCATCGTCCAACACTGGGTCGAGCAGAATGGCAACAACACGTGAATTGAATGATTACATAAGGCGAAAGGAAACTAAACGTGCACCCAATGAAAATGGAAATACGCCAAACCCAATGTAAATGTGAGGGCTGGATGGCAGCCAGAGCCTTGAACAGTCAATGTGCGTACGTTCTTGGTAGAGCGTGGATCTCTGAGCTATGTGGACACTCACGAACAAGGGTTGTTCTAAAATTTGAATTCATTTGCAAAAAGAGTTGTAAATCGATGGAAAAACCAGATGCGATAAGATGATAAAAAAAATGATATGTATAGGTAGGAAAAGCAGACGCAGCTACAGAAGAAAGGAAGGAAACGAACACACGAAAGCACACTGATTGACCACAGCAAGCGTGACCGTTGCACGCCAAAGCATGAAAGTCTGAACCTTCATCCAGATGCATGGGCCAAAAAGTTTGTCAAAAAAAAGAAGAAAAAAAAAGGAAGAAAAAGAAAAAAAATTCTTCGAAAAAGCAATCTGATCAAGAAATTGCATGGCAACAAAAAACAAACCATCTTTAACATGATGTAAAAATAATCAGACAGAGTAAACGACTCTTGTCTCACACAATTGGGCTGTGGCTATGTAGAGCGCAACACACGCATCGGCCCAATCTCACACTCGCACGGTGCGCACAGCGATTGCCGCCTGCGCAACCAGAAGACAGGCCCTCTTGATGCAGGCACGGAGAAGTACCAAAGGTTACCTCCGACCGCACGAGGGCTCAACAGTCTGTATCGGACATTCGAGCGGCCGAGACTGGGCGATGCCCGCACCATCAATCCGAATCCTTGTTGCCCGGGGCCACAGCTGCCATTTCGGAGGGAGGCACGTCGTCCACGTTGACGTTGGTAAACTGGTGAACAATGGTCTTGTTCGAGTCGGAGCGCATGCCCAGATCCCCAACCTTGGTGCTGCGGCGAGAAAGACGTGGAGAGGCGCCAGACTTGTGCTTCGAAAAGACAACATGGTAGACCAAGACGGCAAGCAGCACCACGGCTAGCAGCACGAGCACGAGCGTGACAATCTCCACCGCGTTAAAGGAGTCATCGCCCGCAGTGGCGGATCCTGATGAGGCTTCGGGGTCGGTCATGGCGCTCGTATCCGACACGGCAACGCTTTGGGACGGGGGCTCATCTCGATTCAGCGACTCAAGCACGCCACCACTTTCCAAAGAAGGGCTGGCGTCCTCTGCGTACAGCAAGGTGAGCAGCAGGTTGGCGAGTTCTTCGGCTGACAGATCCTCGTTGCTGTCATCACGCCGAGTCCACATGCTACGACGGCGACTGCTACCGCCCTGGACTTCGATGCGCAGAGCCACGAGAACCATGCCATCACTGGCCGACTCACGAAGCGACTCGACTGAAATCCGGCTCGCCGACACCTGCAGCAGAGAAGCCAATTCGCCTTGCAGTTGTTCGGCAAACTCGGCAAATGCCGTGGACGAGCTGTCTGCCCAGGCAGCGTTCCATGTCACGGCAAACTTGAGGCCATCCAGTTCGACGGCACTCGGCGTGGCATCGGCAACCTCGCGGTATTGGTAGACCCAAGAGACTGGCTGTCGCACCTTATTTCCGGCCTTGTCGTAAACGTTGGCAATTTCAATCTCCACCGTCTTGCCACTCAGCAGGGAGGCCGAGAAGGTCTTGGCAATGGAGAGCTTGATAGCATGGCCCTGGCAGATGACATCCAACACACGCTCGCTGACGCTGATGCTGTCACCAATCGACGCCTTCACCGAAAAGGTGAAAGGTCGCGTGCATTGCAAAGGTTCGGTAAAGATAACCTCAACGTCGGCTCCCGTGTCAGCCAGCGTGGAGGCCCGCGGATACATGGCAAAGACCCGAGGCAGCGAGCGGTCCACGGTTCCAAGCAGCGAAACGGACTGGAAATCGTTGATGCCGTCGGGCGCAGCGAGACTTGCCACACTGCAGCGGCTAAACACTCGGAGCTCATATTCGCCGTCGGCAATGCCATCGACCTTCCAATCCACCGAAGCGTAACCAAAGCTCGACTCGAGTTCCTTCAGCTCCGCTGGTTGACCGCTCGCGTTCTGCGCTGTCGTCCAGCTCGAGGCACCAAAGGGGCGGTACTGCAGCAGAACAGACTCGAGTCGGTCATTATCAGCCCAATAGCGTTTCGGGGCCTCCGGGTTGCTGACTACCACGCGGTACGTAGGCGAAGTCAATGCACTGTTGATCACAAAAGTGCTTGTGCGCAGCAGATCACCAGCCCAAGCCACCGTGGAGCACGGGGCCAAGAAGTCGACCGTCAACTCGCGCTCATCGTGCTGGAAGGAGCTGGCCGGCCAATTGCCGAGAACCAAAAACAGCTCACGTTCGCAGCGCGACCGGAATCCCAGCTTGAAGGACACTGAAGTCCGTTCGTCTGCCTGACGTACATATAACGTTTCCGTGTACTCAGAGTAGGCCGGCATTTGCTCATACAGGCGGCCTTCCGCGAGCGTATCACCGTTGATAAAGACCTCGGCCCCCTCAACGTCACGAACATAGCTAGACAAAAACGTCGAGGAAAGGCACGCAAATAAGAATGAAGGCGCAGGGGTAACAGGGGTTGAGGAGAAGTTCAAGGCGTGACGTGTCGCCAGAACTTACAGCTCGTATTGGTTGGCTTCGTTGGCATCGTTGATCAGACGAAGTTTGAACACGGCAGCTTGCCCAGGATACACGGCTGACAGAGGTTCACTTTCAACAATAATGCGAGGCTAAGAAAAAGTCAACAGTGGCCGTGAGAACAAACAAAAGACTTGGTGCCACATGAAGCGATGATTCTCAATCACGCACCTGTTCACGGGCATATGTGTTGGTCTCGTGCGGACACTTGGAACTGCCGGCAACAGTTGTGAAGACAAACGAGCCGAAGATGGGATCGCGTGCCACCTACGGATTGACCCAACAAAGAGGCAGAGGTCGACACATCCAGCAGCGGCAGCATGGTGAGGTTAAGTTAGTTCAGCCGATATAGAGGCAAATACCGTTCAGAAAACACACACTTCTTTCCAATCCTGAGAAATCACGAATCAAGTCGTACCTTGACCACAAACTTATCGCCGCCATCGCCATCGGCCAGGACAAAACCACGCGTGGTCTCGACGTCGGTGTCGGTAGTCGTAATGTCGGCCGACTCTTCATGTCGGGTGTAACCAATCTCAAAGTCGAGCGAAGGTCCAACGCCCACTAATTGCACCTTGGCAGCCACGGCGCCCAAAATGTGAAAATCCTTCTGAGCCATGGTACCGGAGTCTGAGCTGTTGTCAACACCACTCGTCTCCTCAAACGTATATGCTTGACCTCCACCTGTGAAAGAGATGGCACTGTAGAGTTCAAGTTCGGACTCGGCTGCCGCGTCTGGCTTCATGTCCAAATCTCGGGCGGCACTCATGAGCGTTTCGGGCATCAAAGCCGTCACAGCTTCCAAGCTTCCTTGTGTCGCGTTAATCAGCACGGCATCGGTGTAATTGAGAACCGAGGTCCATCCCGAAATGGCTTCCTTGAGCTTGTCCACCTTCTTTTGAGCCTCCTGCTGCTCGTCCGAAGTGCCTTCAGCTTGTGCTGTGACAAGGTCTTGCTCGGCCAGGACGAGATTGTTCTTGAGGGTCGGAATCTGTGGTGCATCCAAAAAGTCCAACGTGAAAATAAAGCCTTCTTCTTCTGTTTGTTTGTTTTTCCTTGCCCACCCCCTTCACCCCACCTGGTCAAAAAAAGGAGAGCTTACCTCAGCATCCTTGATATCACCATACAATTTGATGGTAAAGGAGTTGGTGTTTTTGGACTTGTCGTCCAGAGACCACGTCACCTTGTCAATAATGCTCACATCGCAGGCGTCCATGTCAAAAATCACCTCTTTGGTTTCTGTGTACTTGACCGTCAGGGCTGGAGTCACAAATACTGGGCTGGATGGGACACCCAGATCCTCTGACGTTTGGATGGAGATGGTGGTGGTAAACGTCACGCTATCATCGCGATTCTTCTTGCCTTCAATGTCTGCACTAACTTTCGAGACCTCAAGCTACACAATCAATCAGGGGGTTAAATGGCAATCAGATGATGAGTGGGCGAAGAATCTCAACCACCGCTGAATGCTGCCAGCAAACGCCTTTGGACAAAGCAAGTGCAGACTTACGTCAAAGCCAACCTCGCCTTCGCTCTTGGCCGTTTTACCACATGCCTCGACGCCCAAACCGGCGCAAAGGCTAGATTCAAAGTCCCAGGTATAAGCGCCATGCTCTGCCAAAAGTCCAATTGCCATGAGAGTACCGAGGACACACACACACACACACACAAAAAAAAAATAAAAAAATAAAAAAATCACCATTATCAAAACAGACGTGAAGGTATGGGGGCGATTGGTCAAGAAGCGTTTGGATTCGTACCATGGGCGTAGGCACCACCAAAAGCTTGATATTCACGGTGTCGCACGGTCATCTGCGCTTTGGCATTTTCCTGCCGTCGTATCAGTGTCATGAAGCGCATCGATTGTGAGCCCACAGCCGTGCCTTCACTTGTGTTCGAGAGGCCCTGTTCACTCAAGATCAACCCAGCCACGTACATAGTAGGCAAAGGACTCGCCACCCGGAGGGTCATAGAGGATCATGAGAGGAAAGTACTCGGGAAAGTCCTATCATACAGACAAGAAAGCTTTAGTTTACCATCACACAAGCCAGACAGGTTGCCAAGTGGTCGAGTGCGCCCGCACAAGCAGACGTGCATACCATGGTAAAGAGATCTGAGATGATCTTGTCTCCGGTCACGATGACGGCTTGGCGAACTTCGACGGTGTAGAGGGAGCTGATGGAGGCCGACAGCAGCTTGGCATACTGAACGCCCTCGATGGTGGCCACCAACTCGGGTTCACCTGCCATGGCGTCGATTGAGGTGTAGGCGCGGGTTACGGTCTCCCCGTCTTTCGCCAGCTCGTGTTCCAGGGGGAGCAGACAACCATCCGCGCAGCGACTGAGCAGTGCGGCATCTTCCTTGGACATGGCCTTGTTGGCGACAAGCGTGGCCGCGCGTTCAGTGGTCTCGCCCAGCATGTTCACAATCGAAACGTTGCCGTCAATGTGTGGACACGCGGTAATGTCTGCCCAAAAGCTCTCCGTCACGTCCACGGTGATGGTTGTGGTCGTGTCGCGGGGAAGGATGAACAAGTTGCAGTCACCACCGACGTTGTTTGTCATGGAGAGGGTGACAACAGGTTCAGGATGGTATTCCCATCGCACGGCAGCCGGCCGTGATGAGAGCAAATCGGCACGTTGCTTTCGCGTTCCTTTGGCGGCAAAGTAATTTGGTACCGTATCCCCGAGCTCCACGGCGTTGTGCGTGAGGCTGATGAGTTCGACATCAAAGTTCTGAGCTGGCACCTCCACCAGATGCTCGTATTCGCCAAAGGTAATCTCTTGGGACCAGGACGCGGCGCAAGTGGGGTAGGAGAGCTGCAGGGTGGTGTTACCCAGCGTACGATTGCACAGCCCACCAGCCACCTGGACCGTCATGGTCGTCGTGGTTGTGTCAATGTAGATGACGGGAGCCTGTCGGCTTCCATCACTTTCCAGCTTGTAAAAGTCGTAAGCAACGGGGGCACCGGCGAGATCCACCGAGTCGTAAAAGCCCGTGGGTGCACGGCCCTCGTTGAGACGCTCAAAGGTGTGGTTGTTATAGTCAAAAGAAGGATAGACGGTGAGACCAGCTGCCACGGGGACCACAAAGTAGCCCGCAGTCGAGGTGACTGAGCATCCCAAGCTGGTATGTTCAATGTGGTTGATGACGCACACACGCACACCCTGAAGGGGGCAGCCGTTGGCATACGAAGCGTGCTCGGTACCCTGGATAAAGAGGTAGCCCTCAAAGGGGACGGTGGTAGCATCGACAAAGACAACCTCGTTGTCAAACGTGAGGGCGCTCACCAGCAGCGTCTGCTCCGAGCAGGGCTGGCCTGAGCAGGTGTAGCGGTGGCTGATGTCACCGCTTTGCTTGGCGACCCGCACCACGATGGACTCCACGTCGTTGGACAGCTCGGACGTCTTGACATAGATGGTAAAGGTGCCATCGGGGCCGGTGGTCAAATTGCCCCCCAAGTGGGGACGGTCCTGGAAGAACCACTCGACGGAGGTATCGGCCACCGGCAATTTGCCGGCCGAATCGGTCAACTGCACGCGGCCTTGGATGCGCGCCTCCCATTGAATCTGAAAGCTGGTGCACGTCTGGTGCGACTCGTACGACCCGCTCACTGACTCATCCTCGGCCCAAACAAAGGCGGTGCGACTGTAGGCAGAGACGCAGTATTGGTGGACGTTGCCAACGTTGAGGTCGTCCGAGTTTAGAATGTCATCGTAGACGGTCTTGGGGGAGTACACGCGTTCACAGGCTTGACTGGATACCACGTCGTAAGCGGACGTGAAGGAGTAGCCATCGCGGTAGAGTAGAAAGCCATCCTCGCAGAAGCTGTGGTCGATAAAGTTGAAGTAGATGCGGCCGAGGTATTGGTTGATGGTGAGGTTACCCGGGGTGCCGCTCGTGTCCGACTCCAGACAGCCGCAGGTGGTGCGCGCGAGTTGATACTCAAAGACGTCGGGGTAGTTGCCGGCTTCGTTTTTGCCTTCGACCTTGATATAGTAGAAGGTACCGGGCAGGAGGTGACGCAAGGTGATGAGGGAGGTGTCGGCCTCACCGCCTTCGTCGGCATCAAATTCCTGGGGGTAGTTGGACGCGACGGTGTAGGCAAACTCTGTGGTTTTCCAGACGCCAAGGGTGACGCGGAACGCCGTTCGATGAAGGACCGAGTTGTCGACGGCCAATTCGAGGGACTTGGCTTGCATGGTGGGCACCACTTGTAGGCCTGGGCTCTCGACACATCCGGTGGCAATGTCGTTGGCAGCGTACTTGCCACTGGGGCAGGCCTTGCAGGCGGATTGAGCATACTGGTCTTGGTAGTTGCCGGGAAAGGGGGAGGCGGAGCATGGTTTGCATTCGGTGGCCACCTCTGAGTTGCTGTAGAAGCCGGGACTGCAAGCTTGGCGGTTGGAGCGGGCACGGCCCGAGGCGTAATAGCCTTGGCCAACGTTCTTACAGCCAGACTGGCCATAGCTGTCTTGGTACTTGCCGGCATCACAGCTGGTGCAGCCGCCTTGGCCAGCCGAACTGTAGGAACCCGGGCCACAGTTGTAGCAATACTGTCCCCATGGGCTATATGTACCGGCCGAGCACTGCTCGCAATCACCATTGACTGAATTGGTGACGCGATAGCCGACCTTGCAGGTGATGCCCTCATCGCAGCCTGCCGTTGTTGCAGCGCGAGGGCGGAGACAAGACGAGTCACGATGGCACGACGAACAGTGAGTCAAGACGTGAGGTGCTCGCGGTTGAAGCAAGCCGGGTCGAACGCACCGCAGTTGGAGTCGCATTCGCTATCGCACGACCAGCCGCAGCTTGAATCGCAGTCATCTAATCGTGAGGAAGGTAAAGGGGGGGGGGGGGAGGGATAATGAGAGATGTGTGAGCTGCAGGCAAAAGGTCGGGCACAAAGCAGTGAAAGACACCAGGGGAGACAGAAGCAAGAGGGGCAGCACGGACCATCGCAGTCGCAGCCGTTTTGGGAGCCACAGGAGCCGTCGAGCTGGCAATTGGGGCGCCAGGCAGAGCTTCGGGACTGGCGGAGTTGGCTGGCAAGGCGCATGGAGGCAAAGTGAAGCTTATCCAGGTTGTCGCAGTCGATGATGGAGGGGAGGGCGGCTCGGATTTGCGTGGCCGAGCGAGTGTAGCGGTTCAGTTTGTGGGTAGCACTCTGGGCGAGCTGCAGGACCGAGGCGGGGTGGTCACCGAGGACGAGGTAGGAGAGTCGTTGGCAGATGGAGGCCATTGGCTGTTCTTCGAGCGGGGCAGTGGCCAGATCAAACCAGATGAGGGCTTCGGGGCGACTTGTGGCGGCATTTTCGATGAGCTCGTTGAGTTGCTCGCAGAGGGTGTGGTCGTGTTCCACGTTGCAGGTTCGGTGGAAGAGCATCATCCAGGAATGGGAGAGGCGCTCGATGGAGACGGTCAGGTGGGTCGAGCCTGTCACCGAGCCGGTGGTGGCATAGTGGATGACGCCCTTTGGGATGTAAAGCAAGTCGCCGGGCAAGAGGGTGATGTGTTGGCAATCCATTTTGGCCAGTTGCCACTCCTGGTAGTTGGTGCAGCCTTGAATGTTGTGCTTGGCAATTTCCTGCCATTGGGCCTTGTGGGCGTCGCTCAGGTTTTGGCCGCCCGGGGGCTGGGGCGTGCAAAGGGTCCATTCCTTCTGGCCGTAAACTTGGACGACAAACACGTCGTAGGGATCCGTGTGTGGCTACACGTGATGTGACGTGCAAAGGGAAAGATGACAAGTCGGATGAGGGCAAGCAAGGGAGAGAAAGAGAGAGAGAGAGCCAAAAAAAGATTAGGGAAAGGAGGGAAGGGGAAAAAGGGAAAAAAAAAAAAAAAAACGTACGGCCAAAGCTTGGGCGTTGGGGGGCGAGATGTAGGCATGAACGTTGGTCATGGTGGTAAAGAGGGCTTGGAGCTGGCGCTGGAGGATGGAATAGGGGCGGTCGGTGGCTTCTGTTTTGACGACAAAGGAGTTGCCGTCGGCCAGGAGGTTTTGGATCGTGTCGCTGGTGATGGCTTCGCCCGAGTCGGAGGCAATCTGGTCGAGGGCTTGAGGGTCAGCACCGCCTTGGGCTCGAACGGTGGTACCGGCCGACCAGAGATCAAACCATTCGGCGTAGTCGTCGAGCGAGGCGATCGAGTCGGTCAGGGCCTCGAGTTGAGCGAGGCGAGTCAAAAAGGTCTCGGGATCCCCGCGCTGGGCGAGGTGATACACGCTCTGCTCAAAGTGATTGAAAAAGAAGGTCTTGACGTTGGCTCGACCATCAAACAGCAAGTCCAAGACGCCCAGGGGCGGCGGCAGGGACGTTGCATTCACCATACTCGAACCCTTGGCATCCTCGCCCGTGGTCTCTGCCACGACCACCGCCGCCAACTGCTGCAGCAGCAACAACAGCACCAGACCCAGACCCAGGCCCAGGCCGAGACGGGCCCCAACCCGCACACGGGCCATATCCGCGTATGCGTGCGCACTCGAGCGTCAAAAAGAAAAATGAGGAGAGAGGAGAGAGAGGAGAGAGAGGAGAGAGAGGAGAGAGAGAGGGTTGAAGCGCGATCGCACGCTCGCACGCACGCGTGTCGCGTTGAGAGATCTACATAGCCAGCGAAGCACAGAGAGAGTGTGTGAGTGAGAGAGAAGTGAGAAAGAGAGAGAAGTGAGAGCGTGAGGAGGAAGAGAGAGCGCTTAGAGAGAGAGAGCGCTTAGAGAGAGAGCGCCGAGAGAGAGAGCGCCGAGAGAGAGAGAGAGAGTGTGTGTGTGTGTGGAGGCAGAGGAGAGAGGAGAGCGGAAAGAGAGTGTGTATGTCAAGGGAGAGAGCTGAGGGAGAGAGGGGGAGAGAGAGTTGAAGAGGAAGGAGAGAGGAGAGAGATGGAGAGGAGAGGGTTAGAGCTGAGGGAGAGCGCCGAGAGAGAGAGAGACGGAGAGAGAGAGACAGCACGCCAAGAAAGAGGGAGAGAGACGACAGGGTGCGAGACAGAGAGAGAGACAGGGAGAGAGACGGAGAGAGCGTCGAGAAAGAAACAGAGAGAGCGCGCGGGCGAGAGACAAGAGACGCAGAGGGACGAACAAGGCGGGCGGCTGCCGTTTCTTCAAGACAGAGAGAGTGCCGGGCGGGTGAAAATTGACAACGATGAAATCAAGGGACAAGCAGAGAGATGAAGATCCAATGAAGCAAGATCGAGTGGATGGAGGGTACCTCTGAAAAAAAATAAAACGAAACATCAAACGAAGCGAGAGGAGTGAAAGCGAGAGAGAGAGAAAGGAAAAAACGCGATTGATTTTTCAGAGATGCATCATATTGAAAGCTATCGTATCTGACCGAAACAAAGCCAAAACAAGAGACAGAAAGGAGATACCGCGCAACTTCAGAGCGCCATAATGGGGTGACAAAGGTATGTTGAACTTTCAAAGTCAGGAGAGGCTGCTCAACTTGGCAGAGAGGGCGCTTGAACCGGATCACACCCACCCATGTTTTCGCACCAAGTTTCGCTTGCCTTCAGAGAAAAGGCAGCGGGCACGAGCATGACCAAAGAGCGGACATGCGCACGAATCGTCCTTGGGGTGGTGATCGCGTCAACAAGGGAGCTAGAGAGGCAGCATAAGCCTCGATTCGTCCCAAGTGAAATTCCATGCTAAAAGAAGAGAAGCTTCAACAAGGTCGACGCCCAATCAGTGGCGACGGAGAGGGACATCTTCCACAGCGTCAGCACTTGTGCATTTGATTCTGTACAATCCCATGATATTACCCCAGGTCCCATCATCTCACCCCATGCGCCTGGTCATATATGGACAAAAAGCAAATGGCTTGCCCCGCTTAACCAAACACGCACCAAACGCGACTTGAATTTTCACAGCTTTCGACCTTTGGGTGTGTCTGTGTAAATCTCACTACTTTCGCAGACTGGAATCTTTCCATCTCACTGCGTTCGACAATGCCTGGAGTGAACAAGCACGGCTTACGAGTTGGTCCCCCTCTGCACGAGGGGCAGGATCAACTAGATCAACAGGCCTTCCCGCGATGGCTTTATGAACAAGTCGCACTCCTTGGAGATGGCAACTCATGGGAGATCACAATTCAATTTTAAAGGGAGAGGGAACAAGACTATCAAAAAAAACACAAGTACAACAGTACCCACAGACGCGGGTCACTCCAGACACATGCCGACGCTCACGGCGCAAAGGCCCGACAGAACCGCTTCACCATGGACATGGGTACAAGAACAATACCGACCGAGGCCGAGATCACATGTCCACTCCTAACCGAGACCATCCTTGACGCCACGGATGCGACGCGCCAGCTGCAATCAAGAAATGAACCCCCCACAGATGAGACGACGACGCATCAAAAGAAAAGGCATGGATTTGCCCAATCTGGACACCACTCGAGCAAAAAAAAAAAAAACCGCACCTGAATGTCCCTGACCATGAGCGTCACACGCTTGGCATGGATGGCGCAAAGATTGCCGTCCTCCAAGAGGCGAACAATGTAGGCTTCGGCAGCCTCTTGCAGTGCCTCAATGGCCTTGGCTTGCCACCGGAGCGGGGCAGTGTGATAAAAGTCTTGGGCCACCTCGCGCACAACGCGCGCAAAGGGCAGTTTGCGGATCAATAGGTTTGTTGACTTTTGGTATCGCCGAATCTCACGCAGGGCCACAGTCCCTGGCCGAAACCGGTGACGGGTTTGGCGGGTCCCACCACCCGCGGTGCGCGCCGTGGAGGCATTGCGTTGTGCTGCAATGGCAAATCCAACCGAGGGCATGAGTTCCATCAAAGAGGCACACAGGGCGAGGGTCAGCGCGTAAAGCAAAACGCACATGAAGAAGATGCTGTTGCTTTTGTACGCGCCATAGTGTTGACACAGATCAGAGCCTGGACGGCTACCCTGGACAGCTCACAACTGGGGCAGCTCAAACTGGCTCAAAATTGGGGCAGCTAAAATTCCGGGGCACCGAAAAACCGGAGATATCCAGCACGTTCCACGCAAAAGGGTTCAGCACCCCAGCTGCTGACAGTGTGAACCGGAGATGGCCGCAAGCATCGTGAGTCACACGGGCCAAGTGCGCATGAGGTTGCGAGCTGAGATGAAAAAGCGCGACATACCGATCGAGTTGAGACGAACAAAGGGTTCAGACACGCTCAATGTCGAACGAAATCGATCAGGCTGGCATAAAAGGCGCGGGCTGGTGTATGGCAGAGAACCAGACTGAGCTTGAATAGAAGTAGTATACGTATAGAACCAGCTCGTCTGGTCACGGCAATTGTCGCCGCAAAAGCCTCCAACGCCTGCGAATTGGCTCGGTCCGCTGGCACTTTGGGAGACGCAGCTGCTGTTGGCACAACTCGCTGTTGCCACACTCAAGTGAAGAGAGAGCACCAACGATGATAGCGGCGGCAACCAAGCCAGAGCCACCTTGCTTAACCGTCCAAGAACGAGTCCAGATGACCCGCTACAAGACAGATAACGAGCGCACGCCGCAGCCCTCTGGGGGTCGTGAGGAGTGAGAGAGAGAGAGAGGGCGGCTCTGTGTGTGTGTGTGTCTTGAGCAGCGCCAGCGCCGTTATGATAAAAAGGCGCCCGTTACTCGTTGCTTGCAAGCGACAAATGACGCTCTGTTACCACATGTCATACATTCTTGGGGTAAGAGTGTGAGAACCCTTACACTTGTGATTTTGCTTGAAAGCAGATGCATCAGCGCAGTGCGGCAGTTGGAAAAACAATATCTTGTTACAACATGAAAAAAAAAATGCGAACTCTCTCCGAGTCTGACCTCACGCTCCCTGGACCCATTTGGATCTCGCCCCGTGCCTTCTTGTCTGATGACCCTCATACTGTGATCCACACCTGCCTCTCGCTTGTATCAATGATAATTCTCTATCACACACACACACACATACACACACACACACATGCATACACATACACATTAATTAAGCCGTAGGAGAAGATGCGGCGCGCCATTCGGCGGTGAGGAGGGCAACGAGGTCGTGGGCGGGGAGTGCACGGGCGTGATGGCTGGCGGTGCCGGCCCAATGGGCACCGTAGCCGAGTTCACGGTGGGCTTGGGCGATGGTGTCGAGGGCTTTGCCGAGGTCATAGGCGCAGGGGTAAGCGGGTATGTCAGAGGGGGTTATGGCTTGGTTAGCTTCCCATGCGGTGAAGCGGTTGTACAGGGCACGGGCAGGGCGGCCCGAGATGGCGCGGGTCATGACGGTGTGGGCGTCGGGTCCGAGGCGAGCCTTGTGGGCAGGACTGGCGTCGCTTTCGGGACAGGGGACAAAGGCAGTCCCCAGCTGAGCGGCGCCGGCACCCCAGGCGCGAGCGCGGTGGAGATCGGCGCCGGTCATGAGTCCACCCGCGGCAATGAGCGGCGTGCCTGGATGGGCTTGGGCCAGTTGGAGGGTAAGGTCTTTGGTTGAGAGTTGATCATCTGGCGCATCGGGATCAAAGACGCCGCGGTGGCCACCGGCCTCCCAGCCTTGGGCGACGATGGCGTCGAGCCCAAGATCGACAATTGCGTGCGCCTCTTTCAAGCAAGTTGCGGTGGCGACAAGCAAACAACCCGCACGACGCAGGGCCTGTGCTTGGTCGGGCCGCGGGAGGCCAAAGTGAAAGCTCACGACGCGGGGTCGGGTGTGCAACAAAACCTCGAGGCAAGCATCCTCGTCATGAGTAAAGGAGGGGTAGATTTCTCGAAGCCGAGCAGGTGGTTGAGCTCCAAATTCAGCAAAGAGGGGTTTGGTCCGCTGGAGCCAGTGGCCTTCACGGTCTGTGTTTCTCCGGGCCGGGGTGTGGCAAAACACGTTGACGTTGAAGGGTTTGTCTGTGAGGGATTGCGTCAACTCGATGGCGTGGCGTGCTTTTGCTGGCGTGGCGGCCCCAAGGCCCAAAGCCCCGAGCGCCCCAGCATTCGACACGGCGGCCGCCATCACCGGCGTCGACACGCCAGCCATTGGCGCCTGCCACAGCGGCACGGCCAAGTTTAATGCCCTGAGCATGTTGAACTGAAGCTCGTTGACCAAGCGTCTTTTTTTTTTTCGAGAGCGAGTCGTCAACCGTCCGTCCGGGCGGGCGGTCCGAGCCGCCCGTGCCACCTAAACGCGCCTGTTGATCTCCTCAAACGCGCTTCTCCAAGACACCAACACCAACACCAACTACAACAGAAAGCAGAATAGCAGCACCACCACCACCACCACTACCACCACTCGACCAACAGAGTCAAGGGTCAGGGTCAGGGTCAGGGGGTCAGGGTCAGGGTCAGGGGAGCTGGAGCCCAGAACCGCTAAGCAGCGCCAAGGCGTAAAAGACTTATTACGTAACAGCCCAACGGATTACAACACAGTGGTGGTTTTTTTCTTACATCTGGATGTACCGCAAAAATCGTTTTTGATGTCTCTGCATGTGATAATACATCCGTATGTTGTCTTAATTTGTTAATCTACTACATGTAGTGTACATAAGGAGATGGAGGATTTTATTTTGTTTTACACGTTAAAACTTTTTTCTGAATTTTTTTTTATTTTTAATTTTTTTTAATTTTTTTTTTATTTTTGGTCGATTCGCAACTGTGTGTGTGTGTGTGTGTGTGTGTGTGTGTGTGTGTGCGCGCGACCGCCGTGTCGGTGTCGGTGCGCCCGTGCAGATACACCCCTCCCACCTCTCCACCACCTTCCCTTGCGCCTTTTAGCCGGCTACACGACCCTCACCAGCCGTGGATCAGTGCCATGGATCACGCATGGCTGGAAAAGGCGGCCCTGCTCAAGGACTTTGAAGCCCTCGTCACAAAGGCCAGGTATGGAGCCTTGCGTGCCACCGATGCCATGGCGGCATGGAGCTAGAACGCCGTGGTTATCGATCCTCCCCCGCCTTTGCCCCTCTGCTGTTCCTCTGTTGTCGCCCCTCCCCTGTCTTTGCCGCTCTGCTGTCCCTCTGTTGTCGCCTCGCTGGGAAGCTGCAAGTGTTTATACCCTAATGCGTTCAAGTGCTTCA